TTCACACTTACAGAACTATCCAATAGGGCTAAGGGTGCAGCTTTCTTATCAAATAGGTTGGATGTTTTAGCTTTTGCAACCTTAATATAAGTTGTCCCTCTCACACGGGATCCCGTGATTCCGTTTGAGAGTGGTATCCTCTTTTTCCGACATCTGGAAAAATGTTCATTATAATGAGCAGCCGCACAAAAACAATCGTTTAGACAAGAGCGTTTACAATTCTCTTCAGTGATAGGTATTTGACATGCATAATCAGCATGTGGAAAATTGGTGTTGTTATGCTTTATCAACGTATAGTCATCTTGGACATCACCTTGGCCATCTACAGGACAAACACCTAGCTTAAAATTTGGCACACAGCTGTCATATGTATAATTGGGATCTAGCAGAGAATAACCTTCTGGACAGCTACATATTGGCCTTAGATTATAACCAAGGCTAGCTGCAAATGCTATTAAACCCATAAATTCCACTGTCTGTGCCATTTGGACTGCTAGTATTGCATGTGTCGTCTGGTACCAAAATGTCGACCAACCATCATCAGCAGAACTTTTTGGGACAGTATAAAATGATAAGACCCCATCATATTCCAAAGTTGCTCTATGATAATATTTTGTTGCTTGGAGTCTTTTGATGGCTGGTATGAGATCATATGTTGAGCCATCTTTCACTAATAAGTACATATACCCCGACTCATTAAAGATCAAACCCTGACTTGCCTTATTTGGGTCATCTTGAGTTATGTTACCACTAACATTATAGAAAGGATCATAGGCATGGCCAGTATATAGGTCCCTGGTGTTGAAAAACACTCCATCAAGGATTAGACTTAACTGTAACCTCCCCTAACCAAAACTAGTCTTTGACCGCCTTGAGGTAATCGTTCCATTTATTTTCAAAAGCTGGCCAGGTAGCAAGGTGTATGTGGGAAGATCAAAGCTCTACCAAACAGGATCATTGTTGTTGCTTATTTTGAGAACGAAATGTCCAGTATCATTCATGACACCGTAGCCCACCCCAGTGCTAGCCAACTCATTAGAGGAGTTCCATATATTGTGAGCTTGAGGGTCACTAAGAAGACCCTCATTTGCAGTAATCTTTACTGTTGATTCCTTAGGCACATGAGTACCATTATTTGCTTACCAAACAATAGTATCGGAAATCTTAGCATACCAAATGGAAAGCAAGAAGAGGTTGCTGTAGTCAGGAAGTTTGAAAAAGCCAAAAGCAAAATCACCCGAAGGTGAAAGCCATGGAGAGCCATTGATGGTGATAGGAAGTGATTGGCCTACTGATATATTACCACTATTTTGGGTTGCTGTAAATAATGATTGTAGGAGTATTAATAGTAAGATGGGGCGAGTGTTAGAACAAAGCCAGACCATTGCTTAGATGAATAAAAGGGAGCAATTCCTTATTCTTTCACACTTGGGATATGACTCTAGTAAGTTGGGTGTTTCTTGCTTTGTGAACTAGAGAAATAGTTTGTTGCTCTTATAAGAAATAATTGATCCAAATTCCCAACAAAGACTATAGTGTCAAGTGTCAAGTGTGAAGTGTCAAGTATAGTTAGATCCTAAACGTACACCATTCTAACTTTATCTTGAATAAACTAAGTCAATTAATAGGACATTAAACTAGTACCATTAGTCCATTATCATGACACTCAATCAATTTGAATGACAAATTTACCTTGCACATAGTTGGAAAACAACTTGAATGAAATCACTTTGTGAATTAGACAATAAAATGAATTCCCAATGGGGATAGCAAATTTGTTTTGTGTAAGTTTTGTATGGAATAATAGATAGTAAGTATTCATTAACTTTATTGAAAGACATTCAACTATAGATTAACTTTTATTATTTTATATGTAACATTAATAAACTAATTTCATGGTAACTTTTGTTTTGAATTTATTCTCATTGTACTTAAAGAGGTGATTTACATAGACACATATTATGAGTTCTAAAGAGAGTAATATGATCATTTTTACACATTTAAAGTAATTTAATGAGAAAAATACAGAGTAAGCAATATTTATTTGATATAAGACCTTCAAAGTAACTTTTAATAGTTTTGAGAAAACTTGTTATATCTTTTGGGTAACTTTTAATCTGCTTTTTTAAATACTTTAATGTGAGTTAGTCTTTTTCAAAACTTACACTTTCCGATTACACTTGTCAAGTTATATTGTCAAGTTATTGTGAATTTGTGATGATGTACAATTTATGCTTTTCCTATTTCTATGTGTAAACTTTGTTATGGTTCAGTCCAATAAGTAATTGATTCTTGAATTCATTAGGTATGCACTTTTCTTAATTGATCATTTATGAACTTGACTGAGTCTTCAACAATTGATGGTTTGTGGAAGAAGAGATATTACAGGTGATTGAAGTGACTTAGCCTACTGTTGTTGGCAATCTTCTAAACCACATGAATAAACTACATTGTGATATGAAGATGAAATATCTACGATAATCGTCTGTCAACACTTGCACACCACAGGACATGGCTGACTGATGATTGGTGCTTGTTTTGTATTCTTCTTGCTATCAACTGATTGTTCTTCACAATTTCACATATGAATTAATTTTTTTGACTCTTCCGATAAGATGATTGAATGATAGAAGTTAAGGATCATGGACAGTGGGGATTTTTAACTACATACTGAAAGCATATATAGTTTGAGGTATATTCACTACACTTGTAAAATAGCTTGAATGCAAGTTGTATCTGTTTTCTTAATGGTCATAGATTGTAAAACGATGGACTAGGCTTGTTTTAGTTTCTAGGGCTAATACTTTGAAAGTTTCTTTGACCAACTTATATTCATTCACCGTTGATGTCACTCTAGTATCCTTGTATATCCTTGTTTCCTCGTTTGCATACATGATATACTTTAAAAATGATACACGTAACCCCTAGGATTTCATATAAGGAATTTAAAATGAAGATATTAAATTAAATCAAACATTTATTATATTATTTATTTATTTTTTTAGAAAAGGTAAACAAAATTTTATAAATTCTAAAAATATCATGATAGGCTTGGCCAACTTCTTGGAAGGGTTCTAAGCGTCACCAAAATCATCTATAGCAAACTTGAAAATAAAATAGGTAAAAGCTAATTACAGCCTTCCAATAATATCTTTGAGCTGAAAGTGAGGAATAGCTGAATTGATTAGAGATTTTGGATCGATTTTCATCTTGGCCCTAGTGGCTCATTTGAACCAAAAAAATAATAAGGAAAATTTGTCAAAAAAAACCTTTTAAATGCCTCATTTTGTAAGAAAAAACCTTTTAAAAGGATCTTTCTTAAAAAAAACCACCACGATCACTTTTTTTGTTAGATGAAACCTCTCCCCTCTATTCCGTCATTGACTCAAGGTTTCAGCCGTTGACTTCTTATTTTCTCTACTTGCAGCCTACTGTTGGGTAATTTTCCCTCTAGGACAAATCTTCCCAAATTAATTAAAAGAAAAATTAGGGCAAACCTCCATAAATCAAATCAATAGAAAGGTAAACTAGGGTTTTTAATCCCTTTCTTCCACAATTCTAGTACTCACTCCACCATTGTAGTACTTACTCCACCCTTCTTCTCTCTAACAGTTTGTGGGCTTGGTTTAAGCAGCATAGTACAAATTCACCAATGTCGAATTTTTCTGTTGAAACCTAACTAATTTTATGCAATTTATGCAATTGAGTACGAAATTGAAGATCTCACCTTGGTTTGTTCTTAACTGTGTAGTTAGGAAACCTTGTTTTGCGACCAAACGACCCATTTCTTCCTCCTTTAGCCGTTGACAGCAGCAAATAAGTGAGTTTGTCAATTGTGGTAAAAAAAGCCCCAATTTTCATACTATTTGCATTAATAATTTGATGAATTAACCTTAGTTTATTATTAGAATATTAATGGCGTGAGCAAAGGAGAGAGAGAGAGAAACCCAAAGTGATGTTATTGAAGTGCTGAGCATTCATGGAGGGAGAGAAGAAAGGAGAGAGAGAATACAGGGCATTAACTTTGGAGGAAAAATAAGAGGGGAAAAGTAAGGAGGGAGTGCAAATATAAAAAAAAACTTGGGTGTAAGTAGAGAAAATAAGGAGTCAACGCCTGAATCTTTGAGTCAATGCCAGAAAAGAGGGGAGAGGTTTCATCGAACAAAAAAAGTGATCGTGGTGGTTTTTTTTAACAAGGATCCTTTTAAAAGGTTTTTTCTTGCAAAATGAGGCATTTAAAAGTTTTTTTTTGACAGATTTTCCAAATAATAATAATATCTTTGAGCGAATCCGATTTTGTTTAATTTATTTGTTTTCTTTGGCATTACATACAATATTCTATGGTAAATGCCCTTGATCGTCTTCTTCATGGCCTCCTCAGGGGAATAATGAATAATGCAACTCTCCAAAACAACTTTATTTCACTGAATCCATATTGTGTACACATAACACAATTCCTATATAACAACTTAATAACACCCTTTTCCAATATAAAAAAAAATAAAATAAAAAAAATAAAAAAAAAAACTTATTAACACCCTTTTAAACAACATTTATTATATTTAAATCTTTTGCATGCATACCTAAATTAATTTTATTTTTTTATTTTTTAAAAAAAAAAAAAAAAAAAAAACTAGTTTTTTGTCCACAAGTACCAATTTTTCTTTTGTTGCTTTATGTTCACCTTATTTTTATTTATTTTTAGAAAATTTTTTTTTTGATAATTTCATATAATTAAATATAAGGTTCTTTAGCTTACAAAATAAGCTAAGTTGAGAAAAGATTCGATAAGTTCAAATAAGTTGAGAAAAGTTTAGATGAGTAAAAATAAAATTGAAAAGAGCACACTCAAACTCTTTTTGAACAAGGGGAAGGTTAATTCTTTGATTGCAAGTCATACAACATCTGTAATAGAAATGAGTAACAACCAAATACATATCAAAATGGATCAAATTAAATTTTACTTTGACAAAACTTAGATCGCTACCAAAGATATCTGATAGCACACTCAAACTCTTAATAAACTATTGATTGAAAAATTTCTTTTCAAGGAGCACCCTCGTAATACATGTAAACAATTGATTGAAAATTTCTGAATAAGCAAACCAAAATACATGTAGACTATTGATTGAAAATTTCTGAACAAGCAAACCAAATTTAAAAACTGAAACAAAGTCATTAACAATATTACTGCGGTTTACATATAAGAAAGTTGTTTTTATATGACACTTTCAGCTGATATACGATCAGCTTTCCAAACTTAAATGACTATACAAATAACTGAAATGATAGATCCTCTGAGAACAAGGCTCACTATCAGCAGGCGAATTCAGACCTCAACTAGTTGTGTAATTACTTGTAGTTGTAGAAGAATATCCAGCTCTTGAATACTCTGAAGCTTCACTGGTAATAAAACTAGAGTTATCATCAAATGCCCAATCAGTCAAGTATGTTGGCTTTGATGGAATAGTTCCCACTTCAACATCCCCAGATAGCATCGCCAACACACGAGACATTGCAGGGCGTTGCCCTGGTGATGTTTGGGTGCATAAGAATGCTATTTCGATCACTCTTTTCACCTCATCCTTGTTGTATACTTTCAATCTCTTATCAACAAGCTCTATGTCTAATCCGTTCTCATATAGATGCCATGCCTACATTAGCAAGGTAGATTAATATATATACAAGAAATCAGTTGTCAATGGCATAGGAGAAGTTGGCTTGGCACTTTTATATTGTTTCTTTCTCCCTCTTCATGAAGCCACGTTACTGTCATTTATTACATTTTGCACACAATAGATGGTCAAAACACACAAAAGAAGTATCATCATACCCAATCAAGAAGGTACATCTCTTCCTTAGGTAAGGTGGGCACATGATTGGATCTCCCGCTGACTATTTCTAGAGCAACAACACCAAAAGCAAACACATCGACCTTTTCTGTAAGATGGCCACGCATGGCATACTCCGGTGCAAGGTATCCACTGTAAGAGATTGCACGAATACATTAATAGGCCATGCTTGATATGGGGGTAATGTATTAAGGGGGTAATAAAAGTCAAACTTGAGAAAACTAAGAGAAAAATAGGACTAATCAATGTCGCTCTTATATTAAAGCATGTAAATAGAAGTGCATTATTAACAATCAAAGTAAGTTGCCTTGGTATGAGGATCTTACATTGTGCCGGCAACACTAGTGCTCATGTGAGTCTTTTTCTCATCATAAAGTTTGGCTAGACCAAAGTCTGAAATTTTGGGATTAAGATCTGAATCGAGCAGGATATTACTGGATTTAACATCCCTGTGCACGATTCGAAGGCGTGATTCTTGATGAAGGTAAGACAAGCCTCTTGCCACCCCCAAGCACACCTCAAAGCGCTTAGCCCAATTAAGTTCCAATTTATTCTCTCCTGTCATTTGAATAAAAGATGAATGCAGATAATTAAAATGAGTCCTGCATCATGAGTTGCATATTCAACATACAGAAGCTTATTAAGAAAGAGGGAGGGGAAAGGTTATACCGAACAAGACTTTATCAAGACTCTTGTTCTCTAGGTACTCATAAACAAGCAAACGCTTTTGCCCATCAATGCAACATCCATTTAACTTTACAAGGTTTCGGTGCTGTACTGCAGATATCGTAGCTATTTCTGTTATAAATTGGTCTTTCCCTTGATGAGATGTTACAGCCAGCTGTTTGACTGCAACTACATTTCCATTCAGGATTCCCTGTAATTACAGACATAGCACAAGTTTAACAGGTACATTAGTTTACCTTATAACAGAAGACGAAGCACCGTGTTTATTATTAACAGGTACATTAGTTTACCTTATAACAGAAGATGAAGCATCATGTTTATTATTAACAGGTACATTAGTTTACCTTATAGACAGATCCAAAGCCTCCTTCACCAAGCTTGTTTGAAGGGTCGAAATCTCCAGTTGCTGACTTCAGTTCAGCATAACTATATGCTTTGGCATCGATGCCTGCCAACTCTGCAAATATAACAGAAAAAATGAAAATGGCACCAAACAAATGAATTTCCATGTTAATCTACTACATACTAACAGAAGTGATTGCAGATGTTTTGGCCAATGCAAGTTATATAAAATCATAAAATTCAGCAAGGCATGACATTATTTTGGACTCTTAGCTTGGAAAGTTTACTCTAGAGTAATAACTTACTACTTCAAGGTTCATATGATAGTAGCATTGTTATAAAGAGATATATTAGTAAAATAAAAATTATACTAGACATACCATCTTGTGCTGCACGCAATCTCTTTCTTCTTTTAAAAAACCAACATGCACCCAAAGAAAGAAGCGCAAGAAGAATAACGGGAACAACTATTCCGACAATTATAGCAGCTGTATGACTTGTTGTTGAGCTTATAGGTCTTGGTTGAAACACTGGAAATCAGAATGTAGTTGATTACTTCATGAAAATTGAAATAAGCAGATAGAAATACTATCCTACTAAATGAACATTAAATTACATGGAGTAACGCTGAGAGCTGATATCAAAGGTCCATAAGCTCCCTGGACAGGTATGCAGCATGTTCCTTTTCCAGCCCAGAAAAGATGTATTTCAAGAAAATTTTCAGTCACCCGAGCTGTATAGTTTCTCTGAACAGGTCTATATGAACGACCCCCTGCCGCCTTGCGTATGTCAAAATCTCTTTCCACCCGATTTCCCTGGTTTACAATAACAATAAGTTAGGCTACAAGAAACAGTAGTAAGCTGCACAAACAATGTCAGAACAATCTCTTAAACAACACAAGTTCTAACTGTTACCTGAATAAGAATATCAAACACACGCCTTCCAAGACTTTTCCATGTACCACTGTCTTCAATTTGATTCTCTGCAAACTGTAGGAGCACGCTGTAATTACCATTCTGAAGCCCGAGTCCATAGTACCGTAGGGATCCAGCTGACAGTCTAGCTGTTTGAAATAATTCAGAGTCTTGGCTAGCAAATTGGCGCGGACTGTCAAATGTATAAGTGACATTGTTGTTTGATGCTGGCAATCCAACATTGCTGACAGCCCACTTATCACTGCTTGGCACAAAATAAGTAGCAGGACCAAGCGTCTGCTTTCCACTTTCATATACAACTTGATTTGATGCTCTAATTTGTGGACCACCACAGTTAATTGCAAAGTCAGAAACTGCACAAAAGATGAGTCACAAGATCAACATTGAATAGCTGTTGAATATCTTGGCTACACCATTTGAAACAAATTGCCAAACTGAATATACTTGGTATGTCTCAAATGCCTTTACCCAATGATTTTCTATAATAAATTGTCAACAACTTGAATTTAAAGAAGTATTTCAATTACACAAGTATGTTTAATTATATCTATGACCTCTAACTTAGATTGATAACTAGTGTATTTGCGCGATTCTGCAATTTGCAAATCCAATGCCAATTTCCAGTTCAAGGTACAGTGTCAAGATTATAATGAAAAAATAAAACTATGTTTGAATATAATTAAGTATACCATTTAAATGGTCTACTCCTAATTTACAACTACTTAATAAGGTCGATGTACATGATTCATCTGAGATATTTGTAAATTCAGACAATAACCATTTCCTTTCCATCCCCTTAGGCTTCTATCAAAGTAACTGGCCTATTCTTCAAAGACGGACAATATTACCTAACTAGGAGAAATAAGTGGCTTATTCTCTAAAACCCGTCTTCATAAGAATATAAGATAAGTACAAATTTATCAAGAGCAGCTGCTACCTGGATATCTCATTGATGCCTAAGACATTAATAATAAGTGAAAACAGATAAATTTGTGTCCGCCAACTGAATTAGAAATGTTTCTTCTTACAGTCTAGTGTCTATATGTTTGATAAGCTTTAGTCACTACATAAAGTTTTTGAAATTTCCCAACAAACAACAGGTAAACCAAAGGCCAAAAAAGAAGTAAATATATACTTACAACGTCCAACAGCAGTGTTGCAAGGAAATCCGTTCTGCAAACAGTTCAACCCTGATGGCAAAGATCTGCAATCAAAATATTAGATGCTAAGCATAAACAAGGTATTACATTACAACTAATACAACAACGAATTATATTGCAAGCTACAAATTAGTACATATTCATGGTTGATTTTTGTAGTAGATGCAGGGTATTAAATATTTGCTGCATCGTGACTACATAGTATAGGCCTTTTTAAACTCCGCAAGACCATGAATTAAACCGCAACAGCCACAACACAACTTGAAGCCGTGTCTAGGTGTGAGCCACATCTAATGCATTGAAACAAAGTTGGCTTATATTTAATTTCAATTTTCAAGTAACTTTTATAACAGTAACTGTACACCATGATTCTGAAACAACAGAATTACTACAGGAACACCGGACATTGTTAGCCAATTCCCAAATAATCATTGTAAGGATGCTGGAATGCTGCTACTGTTATAAGATAATGAAATACTTCAGTATTTAACATGCTTCTAGAGCAGCAAGGACTAGGAGGTTTTCAGCTTGAAATAACATGCATCTAAGAGTATTTCAACAGAAGATTTGAGGAGGGCTTGTGCGACATGCACTCTTTGAGGCTAAAGTTATCGACATTGGGTAATAAAAATCAAAGGTTAAGCCTTCCGATCCTAGAATCTGGAAGGATAAGGACCGTTTGTAATAGTACTCTAAAAAACTTGTACTTCAAAAAATCATTATTAATGAAGGTAAACATATTTTGGATTCAAAGAAAATCATCAGTCAAGCAATCATCTAGAAAATTTTCTGATTTTAGCAAAAATTCTAACCTGCTGTTTGAGCCTTGTACGGAGAAATTATTTGCAACTAAATTACTGCATTCACAATCAACTTTGATAAGAAATAGGTGAAATATGAAACAGAACAAAGTATACAGAATATGAAACATGATACTAATAGGATTTTTGCAATTCAGCATTGGGATGGTTAGAAGATTAGACAAAACATACAGTTGTAGTTTCGTTTGGCTGACCCAAGAAGGGAAGCTCCCAGATAGATGATTGTAGGACAAATCTCTGTATGCAAAAAAGATAAGATATTGTTACTATATACAAAGAAAAATTGGCAAGTATTATCTAACAAAAAAGACAATAGAAAAGTGGGAAAAAATTGTAGTAGATATTCAAAATCGTACAATTGTAGGAAACATTTTGTACAATTTAGAGTTGTCAGAAGTAATTACAAGATTGTAATAGATAATAATTTCAGCATGGTAACATAGCTTACATAGTAGTCAGAGATGAGCTTTTCTGAGAAGGAAGAGCCCCGGTAAGCCTATTATTTCCAAGAAACCTGAGCACAAAGAAAGAAACCTCATTAAATATCTGAATTATGTGTTTTGCAGAGATAAAAGAACGAAACGACAGCCCAAACTATTAACAGTAGATATTGCCAGAAGAGTAACAAGGCACAATACTCACAAGTAAGCAAGAGTGCTGAGACTGAAGACAGAGTCTGGAATTTGTCCTGTTAAGCTGTTGAAGCTTAGGTCCCTGATGTCATTCGCTTTCGTCAATGCCAAAGGAAATAAAATAGAAGCCAAAAGACAATAAATATGAACACATAGTTACTAAAGAAAGTAAGTCTTTATGTCCATGTAAATAAAATCGCCATCAACATTTTAAATGATTCTAGCTACTGCAATAGAGTGAAGCAAAGTGCTACCAGCCTACCACTTCCGAACACTTCAATGGATACTAAGGAAATTACTTTAATAAGTCCAACTTCATGTTATTCCTTTAATCAATCAATCCAAGCCTTAGTTCCATAATTGTGCATGAACCAAAAGCGGTCATTCCGTGTGGTCATAAGGAGAAAATTATTTTCGTTTATCCAAACTACTATAAAAGTACAAAGACAATTAGGAAGTCTTATCTATGTAGGAGCTCCATTTGGTACTTGTTTAAGACTCAGGGCGTGCTTGGATTGGCATTTTGGAAAATGAAGGTGAATTAAGGTGGTACAAAGGGATGATGGAGTGGTGATGTGATTAGAAGGGAAAGATGGAGAATTTTTTCTTAGCTTGAATTAATGTATTACCCTAGATCCGCATGCACCCAAAGAATCTTATTCTCTTGTTTATTTATAAATTCCAAACTTAATTTCTCGTTGTCCAACAAGATTTTGAAACTTCATAAATCAACAACTGCTACACATAAATATATTACTTTCCACTGCGAATTTCATACTGTAATAATATATTTGACTCTACACATCCAGATACATAAAGTAATCCAACAACATTGATTTAGAATTAGTTGAATAACAACTTACAATTGTGTCAAACTTTCCAGTGCTCCTATACTACGAGGTATGGGGCCTGTGATGTTGTTATTTTTCAGAACTCTGCAGGAAAACAAAAAAAGTTTTCAAAATATCAAGTGCAAAAAAAGGCATAGTAAAATGAGAGCTAAGAAAAGCTCATATGTATGCTAGAATCATGTGATCTTACAAGATGTTTAAGGACGTAAGACTAGTTACAAAATCCAGAGAAGAGCTCCCATTTAACAAGCCACTTATTCTCCTGCATGACAGATACAGCTGAAAAACTTAATTGTCTGAATGTCTTCTTAAGAATGCAGATGCGCCTTTATATTAATGAGTCACAAACAAAAACATAGACAGACTAGAAAGAAAGACAGAATAAAAACAACAAAGGGAGCAACTCACAACTGCTGCAATGAGGTTAGTTTGGAAAATGATGATGGTATTGGTCCATGGAATGAGTTTCCTTCAAGCCTCCTACATGAAACATTTATAGTATCACACAATACCAGATATTAATACAAAGCAAAAATATACTAAGACTGAGTACTATTAACATAAACTCTATGTCTTACGCACTGGCTCAGTTACCAAAGCTTTTACTGCCAAATTATTTATTATTGAATTGACAAGAAGAACAGGTAAAATGTGAAATCAGAATTTTCTGAGTGAATTTCTCACAGTTCTGTTAGTTGGCTCCAGTTCCCTATGAAGTCAGGTATAGAACCCGTTAATTCCATGTCTGATGCCCACCTGAATGATCAAAAGTTGCCACTCAGTGAAAGCGATAAAATACTGCATATAACTCCGTAAGGAACTCTTTTAAGTAAGTATTTGGAAATGAGTACAGGATGGGTGGGTCGAATCATTGTGAGCTCTTACACAGTCTGCAAGTCTTTTAAATTTGCAAATGTTGAAGGGATTACACCACTTGCACCAGAACTGTCAATGTACCTGTTAAGGAAAACAAAAGGTTATAGCTTTTATGCACAATGCTAATTGCTCCATAACAAGGTTGGTATAGAACACTAGCATAAAATTACATTGCCATGTAGTGCAGATGGTTTGTTTCTAAGCACATCATTTCCACTTTGTAGATGTTATTGTTATTAATAGAAGTACAATATGAACTAACAACAGACAATTTTTTATTGAAAGAATGTCTTCAAGACTGCTGCAATAACTTTCAGAATCATCGTCGATAAGGGCTATGGAGGAGATGCACTTCTATGATATGAATGCATTGAAAGATTCATCTCTCTGCTTATTTTATCAATACGTTATTGACAACCTATGAAGACTTTAGCGCAATTGCACAAGGTATGGGAACTGGGAAGGAAATTGTAAGCCAGTACCTGTCCCTTAATAAAGGCCTTGAAGTAAACCTATATCCAGCATCAGAACGATAACCCAGTAATTCCTCAAAAATTATTTTCACTACATCCTTTTCTATCACACATTTAGTTGGCAAAACACCAATACAGCATATATGTATGTCTTGAAAGCTACAATCACTTATGGAGCTATTGAATGAGTAATGACAAGCAGATAGCAGGAATTTTTACAACTTTTGTGCCACAAACAATCTCAATATGCATCACTCAATAAACAAGACTCTTAAGACTTACAATTGTTGCAATTTTTTCAGGTTTCCAATCTCTGATGGCAAAGAACCAGAAAAATTGTTTGCACCAATACCCCTGCAAAAGTAAGCATACTACGTATCACATCTATTGCACTTCAAAGAATCGACATAGAAATCCACACACGTTTATGAATAGAAATTAGCGGTCATAGTCCCTATTAATTCAAATGTGATGCTGATTATAGGGAGACAATTTCATTTAAAGACTCCTTTAAAACTACTTCCTAGGTCTTTTTTTACTTGGACCTATTGACCAAAAAATGTGACAGGTGCTAGTAAAAAAACGACAGAGAGAGTGCGTATTATGGCTCTAATGGAATATTTTGATACGGAGTTAAGCCACTTATTCTCTTAGTAAAGTAAATATTGATCCGACTTTTACATGTCTTTTGTAAGTATGGATTATATACTTCAATTCAGATATGATGTCTAATTGTCTAGCTTCTTTCTTTTTTAATGACATAAAATACTGTTAAGGAATGTAAAGTGAACATGTTGGATACCGAAAACTTACAGTGATCGCAGATCAGTAAGTTTACCAAGTTCTTTCGGAATTGGTCCAGAGAATGCATTAGTACCGAAATCTCTAGAATTAATATAAATTGGATTAGAAAAGATAGAGAAAGAAAAACTAAACAAAGGGTAGACTTTCACAAAACTTGAAAATTATTTGATATACATACAGCCATTGCATGCGAGTTAAGTTTCCAATGCCTGAAGAAATAGGGCCTGTCAAGTAATTTAGTCCCAGCCTCCTACATGACAAAAAGACATAGCAAGTCTCTGCATTATGATGGGTTTTCTTAGGCAAAGAGACGATGCTTGCTTTAAAAGTTAAAACAGAGCTGATAGTGCCAAATTATATAGAGAAGCCATACAAGTTAGTGAGGTAGACCAAATTCCAGAGCTCATCTGGTAGCACGCCTTTTGCATCTTGTGCATATACCTTCCTGTCATAATTTGACCCAATATATCAGTTGATCCTTTCTAATTTCAAAATCAATACTTTCCAAGGGGAATGAACTGGGTTGGAATGAGAATAACCAGGTATGCCAATATAAATTATACAGTCAACTGAACAAAACAAAGTTGTGGTACTAATGTTTACATAACCAATACTATTTGTCTATTTATATTCTACCACTTACAGTAAGGAAGACCATCAGGAAAAGGCTTTTGCAAAGGCATGAAAATTTCTTTCAAAGAAGGGACTTTCAAAGAGACATAATTACATCATTTTGATAACAGCAAAAACTATATCACTAAAGCACCTAAACAAGGAAGAGTTTTATACATGGGTGATCGCTTTATTGAAGTAAAGACGCTTGACTTGGGTAAGCCCAAAACAGGTTGCACATATTCACATTAATTACATCCTTGCTGACTCAAGCTTCAGTGATGAATGATCATGTCAACAAACATGAGTGGTGAGCATTTCTTTTATCCGAATACTCCTAGAAACAAACCTTCGTGATTCTGTGAAACAATAAGTTTTCAATACAGTTGCACAACCTACATACTACTAAAACTGCAACAATGATTGTAGGATTCCTTACGTTCAGTGGTATGCCATATTGCCTAAGGCTTCCTGAAGTTATGTTTATGTTTTTTCGGGCTTAATGGACAAGAAGACAAATCAGTTGAAGGAAAAAAATAAGAACTGCAACAGTCACTTGGAGCACAAAACAGACAATAGATGTATATGGAGTATATATATGACTTGAACCAGGAGCAGCAACAACTTACAAAGCAGTAATGTGGCAGGTAGTGTTACGATTATAAGTACAATCACATTTTATGAAGGGGTTGTAGCCAGTGTCATCAATAGTAATAGACTCATCAAGGGCTGCACCCGAACAAGGATCTCCTGTTGTATTCCACTGGTCAGTGTTTGCAGGAGTTTGCCACTGCTCTAGAATTGTATTCAAAGCTTGGACTGCACATTCAAATTGGATTGATATTCAAGTGTAAGTACATAGCAACACAGTTAGTTGGATGAAGAACAAAAAAAAGGGATATGATGATAGAAAATTAAAGATTGCTTTCTTTCAAGTTTCAACCTCTTGAATTCAAGTATGAGACCGTTTGTAAAGGTACCAAAGCAGACAATATTATATTGTTTGAGCTCTGTAAAATGTGATGGAGTATAAAATATAATCTTGGGCCTCAACCATTAGCTTAAGCTCTGATATCATGTTAGAGGACCAACTCAACCAAAAGCTTAAGCTAATGGTTGAGGCCCAAGATTATGTTTTATACTCCATCAAAATGATCAAACCACCAACATCATTACACACTATGGTGTCCTACAAAGAACAGACTATCTACACCAAGGGTTTTTTAATTTGTTAATCTTACCCTATATATTACTAAAAATGTGGTTTATAAAAACTCGGAACGAAGCATATGCTAATATCACCTTGTCTCTCAAACCCTTTAGAATTACAACAATATTTATCTTTAATAGTTCTTTAGGAGGTGAATTTAGTTGATAGATAATTTAACATTTTGCTGAGGTTGGTTCTTTATAATGCCATTGTCCTTAGATTCGATTTTCCTACGTTTCCAAATGAAAACATCAAATGAACACACTATAGATATCTCACCATGGATATGTGTCGGCCTTCCGTACACCCTATAGATCCACACATTTATAAGTCTTAATAATAAAGATATTCAGTAAGATTATCTCATTGACTTGACTATTTACAATTATAAGATAGTATGAGTCCTCGAACAAAGCCAAAACTAAAGGAAGAAGACTTTGGAGTACATTAATTTCCAAGTCTTGATGCATTTTTGTTGCTATATGACAGCTACAGTTGTTAATTTGTCAATCTGGCATCCCAATAATTTGATAATGGATTATTAATTTCCTCGAGCAGCCACTCACTACTTATCTAGTACAGATCTCAATGTCTTGCTCATGTGTCCTAATATGAATATGGGATACCGTGTCAAGAATTAATTTTCCATAGTCTCATATTAGAGTATAAACAGGTATATATATACAACCTATCGGAGATAAGGGCTCTATAACATTGACCTATAAGAACTATACACTACGTACATAAGGGCCTAACACTTTGTCTACCAGACGTAAAAGCCACTACTCGCTAACCCCTAGTCCCTGCAAGTAATTTTGGACTGCTCGACTAGTCGATTTCTAGTTCACTATTGACCTCCTACTATCTTAATTGAATTATTATTTGTGGTGTGTCAATATCGTTTCTCATGACAACTTGTGTATCGAAAGCTGATAAAATATTTGTTTCGGGGTTTTCTGATGTCCTGCAGGAGAGTTACAATTCCGAGACTGGAACCGGACGCCTGTACCTGAAAAACAAACGGATGCTCCGGATGATTGGAGATCCGCCTCCGACGGTCAAGTTAGTACTTGATTAAGGAGTAATTAATGCGGAAATTAAAGTGATTGGGTCTCTCTAGGTGAGAGTGTTTAATGTGTGTAATCTGCGTTTTTTTGCGTCCTCTCCCTTAATGAGGATTAAGGGAGGTATTTATAACCTCGGGAAACGTGCCAATCTAGGTTTAGGTTAACCTTGGGCTGATTGGGCTTCCCTCGGAAGTTGGGCCTAGGTGACCGGCTTCTCCATTAGGCATGGAGTATGCCACTTGTCATGACATAATAAGTCCAGGGTGGACGAATAAGCGTGTGCCACGTGGCAAGCCCTGAGAGGTCCAATTGGGGGACACTTGGCAGGACCTGATTGGCCCACGTGGGGCATTCCGATTGGTGGGAGCAAAATCCCCTAATCATTTGCCCCTCACAGGTGGCACGTGACTGGTCACGTGTTACCTGTGATAGGTATCGCCCTGTAACAGGCGACGGCCTGCTACAGGTGTCACTCGGCGAGAGGCCGAGAGATTCTCCTGCCAAAATTTTGAATTCTGGAAGTGACCCTTCGCCTTCTCACTTCGCCTATATAAAGGAGTGTTGACTTCGGTCATTTTCACACTTGAAAACTTTGTGAGAGAACATTCGGACCCCTGAACTTGCTCTGACATTTTGGACCCTTTCTGCCTACCGCCTGCTCTGACAAGCCGACTGCAAAGGATTTTCAGAACTTCATCAATCGTCACTCGTTCAGGTAACCGTCGGTTCTCTTACTCTTAATTTTCTCTTTACTTTATTCTTTTTTGAAATGGCACCACGGAAGCACACGACACGACCTAGGTTAGTGATCAGCCGGTCACCGGGGACGGCTGAATCTAGGACTAGGAGTGTCGCCTGCCCTTTTCTGGACCCATCTTTGCCCTTTATACAAAGTCCGACTGTATCTGTGTCTATGCAGAGCATGATGGCCAGAACAAAAAAGACTGCCAGGATCTCAAACTCAGACGGCTCCTCCCACAGGGTGCCGATTAGTGAAACATCTGACCAGGCGCCAGATGTGGAAGTGAAACAAAGCGGCTTGAAAGCCGGCAGTTCTGAGGGAGGAGTCAAAGTGACCCCTTCCCATTTTACAGTTGACAATTCTACATTCTCTCCTGCTCCTTTTAAAGGAGAGGAGGCGGGCCCCTCCGGGAGAGGGGATAAGTCGTCCTCTTCGGATTCGTTAGAGGACGATTCCGAGTCTAGCTCTTCTGGCCATGCTTCTCTGGACAAAGAAGAGAAAAACAGTCGCCTACAAGAGGCGAGGCTTTCTCACGCAGTTGAGAAGGGGGACGATTGGGCGGAGCCATCCGCCTCTCACCGAGAGCAAAATACCCCCTACTACTGCACGGTACCTCGGGGCCGGATCACGGCCATGCAAGAGAAAGTGGAGAGCTTTATCGCAAACCACACAATGGGCCCCGGCTTTTTAGTGTTCGTGTCGGATCCAGAAGACACAGTCGTCTGGCCGGCTGGTACCAGTTATGATGGCGCCTGCTTTGGCTGCTACGAGGCGGCCATCAAGGCTGGGCTGTGCTTCCCACTACATCCGGCTGTTCAGCGGATCTTGGATGGGTATGAGTTGGGGTTATGGCAGTTAGCCCCGAACTCCTGGGTCAACGTACTCGGCTATGTGGCTGGGTGCGAACTGCACGGGGTGGAGCCGAACTTCGAGGCTTTCGCCCACATGAACTACCTCAGCCGGACCCCTAAGGCAGGCGGTACCGGCTGGTATCAATTGACGAGCCACAGGGGCTACCTCATGACGAGAGGTAAAGCAAACAAATGGAAGGACTGGCGGAGCACCTTCCTTATTATTGAGAGTTCAGACACAGAGCTGAACAAGCGCTTCAACAGGTGGAACAGGAATCCGCCCCTTCTTGCAGGCGGCCGCAGCATGCCGCCTGTTCCCCCCAAGGCTAAGAAAGAGATCCTAGATAAAGGACTCTTCAAAGTAGAGTCGAAGGTGAACTCTACTTCAGGGGTACGAGAGCAAGTACCCCTGCACTGCGTCCCGAGCTTCAAATGGCTCTACGACGAGTAATTTTTGGCCGCCTGTGGCCTCAGCAGTCGGTGCTCAAGAGGTAGCCGGTTTGTCGAATACTCTGTTGTTCCGTGCATTTCTTGTTATGACTTTTATTAACTTTGCTATTTGTTTTTGCAGCGGACGCCATGAGCAAAATTACCGCCTCCAAGACTGCGGCGGCCATGTTGCGGGCCTCCATCATGCAACAGTCTTCAACCGACTCCCCCAACAAGGGGGCACCCTTGGTGGGCTTCGAACCTTTAACCCTCTTTTTGGAGTTGTGTTTATGCATATACTGACTCTTTTCTTCTTTTTTAGACGGGCGCTCCAAGAGCTTCTTCTTCCCAACAGCCGGACCCCAAGGCTCGGAGGACGACTGTTGCGAGCTCTCCTGGTTCTGCCAGGAAACATGCGGCGGCTGAGAAACAGCCGGCCACTTCTTCTAAAACTCCAGCTGGGCCACCTAGAAGTATGAAATTGTCCTTGTAAATTTTAGACTTGCTCCCTCCTTTACTAGGTCTAATCCGTTTGTTTATGCTTGATGCAGCCGGCCCTCAGGAGCCTGACTTGGTCGAAGTGGCCAAGTCTATGATCAAGGCCGTACCTCCAGCTGAAAGGGAGGCGGTCAGGGGTGTCGGCACCCTTGACCTAGACGGGATTGCAGGGGTCCTTGCTGAGGTATACTTAGCATATTTTTGAGTATTTGAATTCCAGGACGCCTGTTTTCTTTTTTGTTTGGAAACTGACGCCTTTTCCCCTTTTTACTTAGGCCCTGCTCCGAGTGAACGGCCTTCGCAAGCCGCTTGACCGGAAGAACAAAGAGGTAAAGGCTGCAAAAGCTATGGCCGCCTCTGACTGTGATAAGGCAATGTTTCAAATTGCCCAAAATGAAGTTCTGACAGTTGATATTCTTTATTATCAGGCGCAGGCTACCGCCGCTATCCGGGCTCAGTTAGAGGCGGCCCAGAAGAGGAATAGCGAGCTGGAGGCGACCATCAACAACCTCAAAACCGAGCTGAGACCTCTTCGCCAAAAGATGTCCTCATACGAAACCTTGGAGAAATCCTTGGCGAGCGTAAAGGAACGCCTGGTGACCCAGGAGAAGAGTCTTACTCAGGAGCTCTCGGAAAAGGCCGAGCAAGAAAAGAAAGAGCTGGTCCGGGAGATGATGGAAGACTCTGCTCAAATCCAGCGCATGACTTGGGGCCGCCTCTTCCCCAATGCCGACTTTGCCTCCTGGGAAAAAACGTACCGCCAGTGTTCTGATAGATATAATCAAGAGATCCTGGCGGCTGCTGAGGAAGAGGCGCTGGAGGAGGAGGAGCAGCCGGTAGTGGCGCTTGTGCCGCTTGGGGGTAATACATCAAAGAAGGATGCAGCTGAAGCCGAGTCCAGCAAAAAGAGTGCTGACCAGGCGGCAGCTGCTAATATTGAAGATCTGCCCCCTTCATAAGATTTATGTCTTTTTTCCCCGGCCTGCGTGCCGTTTGTTTGTATTTACCCGGCCAGGAGGCCG